CGAAGGAAATATTTTATGGTTCTATACTTGTACCAAAAAAGTATCACCACTCTATGTTTTTGAAGATAAACGTTGTTATAAAAGAATCCCTATATTCTATAAAAATAAAGTACATTTTGTTGACACACTTTCAAGACGAACATATTTTTGGGATACCGCAATCCCATGTGGATCAGAAAATAGCCACAAGGTAGTACAATTGAATCCTGATGAAGATAAATACTATCTCCTTACTCCATACCCTACATTAATGCAATCACTCAAAAAATTTTCACCCGACAGCATCAGAGCTATTGCTCGTAACCCAAATATTGATTTACAATCAATTGGAATATATTCTAAATCAGATATTCAACACCACATTAGAACACAACAATTCCAAGAACTACTAACACAAATGGACACTATACAAAAACAGTCAATACACTATTCAAAATTTAAGAAAACTTGCCGAAACCGCAGGATTTGCAGATTGTTTATACACAAGATTATAGCGGATATTTTAAAGACATTAAAGATTATATATATCTAAACGGCGAAAAATACAGACCACAAGATATTTCACCTATAAATATTTTCAGTTTTTTACCCTAAAAAATGAAATTCTAGATTTTCTAGGATGGCCCTATTACATCTTAGAAAAATTAACTATCTTATACGCAATGTTTAACTTTATAGGATTCCTTTTCTCACTCTTAAAAGGAATCTATAACACATGCGCTATACACACACAAGTAAACAGACAAGCAAGTGTAGCACGCATACTGTTCGCAGGATTTTTTGGAATTTTTTCATCATCCATAAATAAAATACTCCTAGACGCACAAATAAAAGAATATAACACAAAAATAGCGACAAGACAGAACACTTACGACGAAGAACATAATAATATAGAAATAACACCTACCGCATCACAGTTGCCACCCCTACCACAAAACCATCCATTATCATTAGTTCCCCGTAACTTCCAAAACCTAGCAATCACACATAATTCAAATTTTAGACCAAATACAACACAAAGTCCCATCCAACACATAATGGCACATCATCCACAAGATGATAATACATACGAACAAATTATAGAACAACCCCATACCACCGCTTTTCAGTCTCAGAATAATCATTTTTTTTAGCCCACGATGAGCCGACAACTTGGATCCCTACACCGCTCAAATTCCCACCCAGCCAACCTCCAAACTCCAATCCCAATAATCCCACTTTTTGCTTTCCCACCACCCGATTTTCCAATTATTAATATATCATCAAGCACGAATTCGGATACTAACTCAGATTTTTCAGTTTTATACTCTATCTCACAACTTAATAACCCAAATGTAGAAACCCCTGACGAATTTGCAGATTCCGAACCATCTCCATCAAATAATTTTCAGACCAACTCCTCAGTTTTTTCAAAACCCCCTTTTCAACCAATCCCGACAAATAATTCACTCCCATCCGTTTCCACTCCTTCTTATGCTTCGCAAGTGACCCCAACCTATTCCCCACTTCATTCAGACCGATCATATTATAATTCTCCAGATACCCCCCAAATTTCCCAGGAACTCGATAACTTTATTACCCTACGACAACAGTTAATACACCCTAACACCCTCACAATACATCAACTTTCATCCACAATAGAATCCTCAAACCCATCTACTCCTACACCCTCCTCAGCTTACACTGCATCACTAGCACAATCATCCACATCCACCGAAACACATAGTAGCACTAACCGAGCTTATCGCACTTTTAAAAGAAAATTCCCGAATCATCCATTCCCGACCAAACCAGGAACAGCCTGCGAATATATCAATCACCCACAACACACCAACGCGAAAGATTTTTTTAGCAATCACCTTGCCCTCATTTCCACAATATACATTAAATACACCTAACGACACTAATGACACACGAAGTTTCGTAGATGAACATGTCTTAATGCCCACACTTCATTGGACAGCTTATTATCATTTTACTAACCCCCTTTGCCTACCACTATCTAGTACTCATGACGACATAGAAAAGAACAAAAATATGTTATATAGACTCACCGCAACACTAACACCTAGACAATTTACTTATGTAGCATGTAAAAAATTACTAAAAACGTTCACTGCACCCCGAACAAACGAATTTACAATAGAATATTACGACCATAATATCATCCGAACAAATCAAGACCAATTTTTAGATGAAGATCGCTTCGCTAACCCACAACTAACAGAAAAATTCTTCATCAAAACATCATACGTATTCACACTTAATATTTTTGATAGAAAATATGATCACATCATTTCTGAAGCACTAAATGATATTCAAGCCTACGAAAGTTTCACAGAAAAATTTCAGTTATTTTCACTAACCTTTCACTTCCTTGCACCACATGAACGCGATTTGCACTGTTCTCACGATATTATGTTACGCACTAAACAAACTCACACATATACATACTATCGTTTTATACAAAATCATTTTGATATGCATACCCCATCAAGACAACCACACCATCGTTTTCAGTTTCTTAACTCAAAATACACATCACCATTTTTCCTTAATTTCACTTATTGTATTAAAGATACTAACCTCCACGGCATCCTCCGCAATTATGACCCAGTAACACAAATGTATATATTTTGTCCCATCACGAAGACCTTTAACGCAGAAGAATCCAGACCCTTCCTTATCCCGCATGAATTTATCCAGCCTATAGAAATACCAATATTAGAATTCATTCACAATACTAAATATAACCACAAAATATATAACCTCATTCAAAACACACCTTACAAGTTTGCAGTAGGCACAGATGAACTAAAAATCATTAAAGCACTTCAATTGCTTTGGCCACTGCTCCAAACCAAAGACATCATTCGAATACTAGCAAAATTATTAACAACATCAGATATGATACACGACATCTTCCCCCACGGCTTTTTCCCAGACGATTAACAGGTAAGTATAATTTAAAATACTCTTCACTAATAAATTTGAAATTAGTACTAACCATTTTCTATCAATGTTTGTTTCATATTTCTAGTCTTCAAACCACGATCACCTACAAAAACAGAAAAGAAAAATAAAAATACAAACTTGTTAAAATTCTTCTAATATTTATTAATATCTTGCACTAAATAATGTAATAAAATTCATACTAAATGTAGGAAATTAATCTATAAAATATTTCCCCATGATGCAGTAAAATTCAATACGATGAAAAATTTTAACTTAACATTTTCCCTCAAATACAGTAAAATTAAAATTCTATGTAATAAATTAATAAAATGAAAATTCAGTACTAACCTTTTGATATTTTCATTCAATCGCACAGGAATTCTATCCAAACTCGCACAGCTCGCCCACGAAGAATTGTTTAAATAATGATTTTAAGTTTCAAGTTTTCACACTCAACAACTCTAACACACGATAACAAGTTTCAAACTTTCCTTTAGCCCGGTTGGAAAGGAATTATATACTAAACCAAACTAACCAACGCAGCTTACTAAACACCACAAATCATAAAATAACAGCATGACTAAGAAAAGAAAACCAACGGTACCCAAACCGGATTAACCCAGTTTAAAACTGGATAATTTATTCTTTTGAAGACTTTTATAAAGTCTAAGAAAGAAATAATAAAACACAAAAAAGTCGCAAGACAAACCCATACCAAAAACAATTTGATTTTTGAAAAAAGGACACAACCAAAGTAACATAAGAAAGACCAACATAAACCCAACTTAAAACGTTATCACATAACAGGACCTCTCAAAGAAACAGCACGAAATCATATTCCCACTCCTGGCCGAACCCACCAGAGAGGACATCCTGAGCATGCTCTATAGCCGGCCTAACCCACCGCGCTACATCCACGCTTTGTGACCACACTTCTATTTTTAATAAGAGGTACTCAAGGGTGAGTTACTCTTCAAAAGAACCGAACTAAAACAAAACGCTTTTGTGAAAACAACTAACTAAATTCATGATTAAAAAACCGAATTAATATGATTTTATAAAATGTAAATCATACCTTGCAGTATATAGATCAACACACAACAACAAAGACGAACATCCAAAGACTAGACAATCCCATCACACTCGAAAAAAGAATGGCTAATCACAACCGATATGCCGTCCACAAACACAACTCAAAGGATTTAGAGTACGACTTGACTTCGCAGAAAAGGACTTCATTGAACTAGACCAATGACCACCTCGATGTTCAAGTATACGTACAGATCCGAGTTACGAGGCATCCCTTCCACACACGATCTCCACGCCATTCCCAGACGAGGTTGAACACAAAACAAGTTCTCTACAGAATACTGAAAAACCCGTCATAGCAAATCATTTTGAAATCAGATTGATTTCATTGGGGATCACAGTCGTTGTCACAAGACGACACAACGATTGTATGTCCCTAACTCCAGCGTCCTGGAACTTCCTTAACAAGAGGAACCGGACAAGAATATGATGTTTGCCAAATACCAACGTTCATCATCCATCCTTTGAATTGCAGAAAGATAATTCTAGAAAACTCTGTAAAACCCGGATGGGTGGAACCTGATCTAAACTACATTTTATAATTGGATAAATTAAATGTTTTACCACTGTAAGATATTTAATATTAACCAATCATAATCCATCTAACTAACAACCCACTTATTTGTAAGTGCTGAAACTACTTGTAGTTTCAGCACCAGAGAGATTTGAATTTAATTTAGAAATTAGTTGCCTCTCCAAGAGAACTTCAGCAGCCGCAATAAACCAGTATACCCTAGATCTATTGAGCCTAGCAGAGACTAGTTAAACACCCTGAGACTAGTAAGTATAAGAGTAAGACTAGGATCGGTATTAGACTAAGAAGTTGCACGAATCTATCCGGCCGAAAATAAGATAGCGTGACGAGCAGACGGTGTACCCTATCCGAAATTACTCTATGAGTTAACCACATCGGTTCTAACTCAGTTAGTTTAAAATTTAACTATTTAATTCTTTAGGCTGCGAAATTGGTGGGAAAACCAACTGATTTCATCAAATCAGTCGAAGACGCAAAACAAGTAGCACGTGATCTGCGAAAATATGGCGCAAAAACCATCATTATCACGCTTGGCGAAATGGGCTGTATTGCGATGGCAGAAGGCTCCGAGAACATATTTCATGTCGAAGTGCCACCAGTCAACGCCATTGATACAACGGTGAAGTAGTGAGGCTAACCGCCCCTCGTTTGCTTGGAGCTGGAAATTAAATTTTGAAACAGAATTAAAGGGTTTTGTTATATTACGCTTTGTACTCATAGCACCTTGGCTATGAAGTGTTATCAAATCGAGTACTAGTAGATTTTAGTTTTTCTTCCTTTGTTTTGTTGAACGTTCTTTACCGTTGCTCAACAAATAAAAACATCAATTAGTTAGTATTATATAGTTACAAGGGGAAATAAGACGACAAGCAAATTAGACGACCGTAAAGAAACGGAATTGACGGACAACCAGTATTTACTCAGCCAAAAGTTAATTTAAGTCTGCAAACAAAATTCACGCAATTTGCACGCATGTTATTGTGTAAATTGGACAACCAGTATTTACTCAACCAAAAGACTAATTAAGTCTGTAAACAAATTTGCACGCAAGTTACTGTTTAAATTCCGTTATTTTCTGATCGTCTAATTTCCTGTCGTCAAAGTTCCTAAACCCCAGTTAAAAGACAAGCGGGTTTCTTGGCTCTTTACCATAAACCGCAATTATTTTTGATTGTATATACGAGTTTGTTCTGTTTTTCTAGACTGGGGAATATTTCCTGTTAGTGGAAACCAAATGTGTCTGGCAATTTTGTGATTCTCCAACTCAGTAAAATAGTTCATCGTAAATGAGGACTCTTTGGAAAAAATGGCAAAATTTTAGAATTCGAAAACTTGACCTAATGTTCCGTCTACATTGGTACCTGGTTGACATTTTTAAGAGCTTTGCTTTTTTCATAAAAACCACCCAATTTTTTTCATGGTAATTGATTTTAGACTAATATGGATACTAGACGTTCTGGAAAAATGCTCATTTATTTTTTTTAGGGAGCCGGAGATTGTTTCTGTGGATGTCTGGCATTCTTTATGGCTCGTTTTCCAAAATTAGCACTGGAGGAAAAGATCAGACGCAGTTGTGCAGTAGCTTCAGTTTCAGTCCAAAAACGAGGCACACAACTGAGTTTTCCTAGAAAAGAAGAACTGCCAGCTGAGCTATTTCAATAGCCAACTGGAATTATTTATTGCTTGCATCAAGTATTTGCAGTCGAAAGTTTGTCGAAGCGTTAAATTATTAATAACTTGTGGAAGAATTGTTGTTTCAGTTTTGAGTGACATAAAAACTGCCATCGATCTGCTACTGTATTTTTATCTTCAATTAATTCTGCATATTAAAAGTTCGTTTAGATAAAAAAGTGTTTTCGGTTTCTGTGCAAATAGCACACAAGGTTGCGACCGCAGTTTTTTTTTCCTAATAATAAATTTTTATAAAATTTAGAAAAAGTATTAATTTTTTTGCCTCGTGATTTTATCGTTTTGCGTGTTCGTGAAATAAAAACTAAACTAAGCCTATAAAAACTCTTATTGACTCAATTACAATTGTAAGAGCAAGTGTCTTGCAATCGGGAACAAGATTTTTTCCCGAAGTTTTTTAAGCTAGAGATGACTAAAAACGTGGTAACCGGGCTGCTGATATTCTCTTGCTTTCGTTAGACACATTTTTCTCCAAGGAGCCGGTATTGGTGTTTTATCTGCCGACGATGTGTTTTGGCAACATACACATTTACTGCATTTCAAAGACCTATTAAGTTATTTGGAGTACGGTTTTTTACACAAGGAAATGCTTGCCTTATGTTAAGAGTTACTTTTTTTAACCAATTTAAATACCATAAATTAGTGTGCACATAATAATGCTTAATTCAGTATCTGTGCATTGCTTTGGTTTTATTCGGGTTTTAAACGCATGTTTTTTCATCTGCTTCATTGTATGCAGGGGCAGATTTGGAGGGGAGGAAGGCTTAGGGACTCAACCCCCCACCAACCAAAGGATGTTCCCTTTAGTATTATTTTATGGCATCCATTTTCGTCCGTGCAACCCTAAGTTTTTTCTAAGGACGCTTTTGGCGCAAAAATATTCTAATTTTAAGCAGGGGTGGATCTAGAATTTTCTCGAGGGGGGGGGCAGATTTTCGAAATTTTTGTCGACCTTTTTCTTGTTAGGTCGACAAATTGATTTTTCGAGCTCTCCCAAAGCACTGTTTTGTCCCTGTTTTGGCCAAAATTTCTGCGCCGCAGGCAAAGTTTTGAAAAAACAGCCCAAAAAAGGCGTTTCTAAGCTTTTTTGGAAAATTTTGACCAAAAAAAAAGCGTTTGTTCCGCGCGCGCTCCCCCCTAAAAATTAGTATATATTGGCGCCAAAGGCGCCCTTAGAAAATTTTTAGTGTGCATCACCAAAAATGGTTATTGGAAAATTGTACAAAGGGGGGACCCTTTGGGTCGGCAGGGAGTCGAATCCCTGAGGGCGGGGCGTCCGTCCTCTTAAATCCGCCCCTGATTTTAAGGGGAGCGTTTGCCAAAAAAAACGAATTTTTTAGACAACATTTTTCCACGAAGTGCCCGAAAACTGATTTTTTTTGGGTTTTCAAAAATTTGTATGTGGCGCTTATGTTTTGTCAAAAGTGGGCCTTCATAGCAAGTGTCTTGTAATTGGGAACTAGATTTTTTTCCCAAAACAATTTTTCTTACAATTTCTGCTGATATGCTCAATGCTGCTGGCCTGCTCACTTTCTTAAAAGTTCAATTAAAGCTACTTCTTACTTAATTTGAGGTATTTCTTAGAGTTTCCATCATGTATTGAAAAATGTTGATTTTTTCGGGCATGTGGTTTTTGTCCAATTTGCTTTTGGCTGATTTTCTGTTGTTTTTTCTAATGCAATTTATATTATCTGGTACGCTTTTTAAGCAGTTTTTTTCAAAACCTAGGGTTAAATAGATAATGGGTTCGCGTTATGTTTGATCGGCTTGGTCAACTGATGTTGCGTAATTTCAAGGGCGAATTTCTAAAAGTTTTTTTTTTTTTCAGGAGACATGGTTTCTAAAATATTCGATTGTAAAATATTTCTAGCTTGATTTGTTTTTTGAACTTTGATTAGTTTCGTTTTCGGCTATATGAGGGTCGAATCAAGTTTTTTTTGCTTAGTTTGACGCTTGTTCCATGTTCACATGGTCTGAGTCAAAGAGATGAAATTTTTGTAGATATACTTTTCTCGAAACAGTTTCTCAACTTTGTTTTAAGAAAAAGGGACTTCCTTCTTTTTTTTCCACCAATATCTTGTAATGCAATGTTTTGATTGTATTGAAACTGTTGCGAAGCTCCGTTGGTCTATGTGTATAAATATCAGACACAAGTAAGAGAAATTATCCGATTTTTCAATAAGAGGACTCGAGTATCTGTGTTATCTTTTTGTGCATTGATTCAAAAAATAAAAAAAACGCTCTTAAAGATTTTTTCCTCTTTTTAAGTTGCCGACGGAAAAAAGATGCCTTTTTAAAACTCATTTTTCAAAGGCTAAAGCTCTATCTCTATCCCCTTATAATCTTCATCATTCCATTCGGTACATTTCGAAAATCATTTTAATAACTTGCTAAATGACTAAATGCGATTGCAGCAATTTGAATTATAAACAGCAAATGATATCGCAATGGGCGAACCATTATTTTGACTCGAACAAAAATCTGAACAACCCTGGCTGGCAGTTGTTTTGAATATGTAGGGAGATAAATTGACAAACAATTTTCTTTTTAGAATCTGTTTTTTTTTTAGAATTATGTAATTTTGCTGAGCTAATTAAGGAATGTTTCTGAGAAACACATGATTTTTGAATTTTTCGTTTATTGCGTTTATGGTGACTCACAATTGATTGAGCCCTCAAATTTTCGCGAACCGAGCAATAGGAAAAGAAAAAAATAGGAAGCTAGTGTTGCGATTGTTGAGTGAAAAGTAGTGTTGCGATTGTCCAGTGAGGGAACATCCCCCCCCCCCCCAAGGTATGGTGACCATATGGCTTCAGCACACTGTTGACCACGGATATACCATTTCTTATGGTCGAAATTATAGTCAGCTTAAACAAATTGAAATCTTGCACTGTGTTGTCCAGGCGAGAAAGGTTGGGTGTTTTCAAACTAGAAGAATCAGAACTAACTGAAAAAAAATAGGACAAAAAATGAAGAAAAAAAAGTAGACACAAAATGAACCCAACAAAAGTTTTGAACCAACAAAAATTGAACTGACAGTTAACTCCATCTTTTTCAACTACCAATTGCATCAGCACAGATCTGTTAACGTTTGTTCAGTTGTCGGACCGAACGAACATAATTTTTATTTAGTCAATTTACGGTAGATTTTTTTTTGAAGAGCGCAGGTAATTAAGCACAGATGAACAAGGACTGTTTTTGTCGATCCACCTTGCATGACAAAAACAATTCTGCCCAGTTTGCAAAAAGTGGCTGACCAAAATTTTAGTGCTCAATCCAGATGATAGAAATCTTGAAAGGATGGGCACTGTTAAGCGCTGATGACGACTGTATAAAACAAGGGTACGCTTAACACTTTTCTCAGTATTCGAGTCGATACGATCGGTTGAACGAAGAACGTTATTCGGAACTGCGAATGGTAAATTGAGTGCAATTCGACTGTTAGAATTGAATTTTTGATACTTGTTATTTCAGTTCTATTTGATACCAGTTTTAGTTTTTTACGGGGGTCTTATGCACTAAACGGCCCAAATTCATTATTTCTACATCTCTTGCACTGAAATTATTGTGGATGAATTTGATTGGCTAATTAGCCAGTCAAGTTCCATCGACATTTTCTGCCATTTCAATTGAAATTTCAAGCCGATAAAATTATTAGCCGAAATGATAAAGAAAATTGAAATTTGTTTTGTCAAGCCATTTTACTGAATTTTGCTTGTCTGGGCAAGGTTTCACAAGTGACTCAAAATTAATTTGATAATTTGACTCAAAGTTCCACCGTTTCGGCAATTTCGGCTAATATTTTTTTCTGCTAGAAAAGTTGATCGGAATGCCTGACCGTGTAACTTGAATTTGATTGGCTGAAATTACCCAATCAAATTTGATCGCATAATTTCCAGCTTACGATGTAGAAAAATTGATTTTAGGCCGTTTAGTGCATTAGACCCTTTTACGGCAATATTAAATCCGGATGGATCCGTTTTTGCTGCGTTTCAAATTTGGTAGCGCTTTTAAATCGTCCAAATTGTTTATAAAAAAAAGACAAGACTGCTCGTATCAGGGCAAAGCCCTGAATGTTCCAACTGCCTTTTAAGGTTTATGGAGCAATAATAACCTTAAAAAATTCAATGAATTAAAACAAAATGAAAAAAAAAATTTCTAAAATTTGAAAATTTTTATGAAAATCATCCCCCCTCACGCCATATAAAGTACAAAAGGATAAATTTCGCTCCTTGAAACAAACCATTTATGGCAAATAAGCTTCTTTTAACCAATGTGGAACGATTTCTAAGACGGATTAACTTTCCCCTTACGCGTTAAGAGCGCGAAATATATCGCGCGTTAATTGTCCCAAATTGGCCAAAATGGCAATCTTTAAACCCCCGTAACTTTACGAAAAATGACCACAGGTGAAATATTTTTTCAAATTTGAGCTCAGGACAACAATACTTTTTGAATGATATTAAAAAATTCTGTCAAAAATGGCTAGTTAAAAAGTCGAAATTTGTCTGAAGAAAAAAAAAAACCCACCCCGAGCACAAATATTCCGTTACTTTCGTATCGAAAGTCGGAACAAAAAGCGTTATAGACAGCTAAATGAAATGAACTGACTACAAAATTTTTTGTCAACGTTCGTTGGTGCTTAAAACTATCAATAAGTTGTCAAAAAGTGTTAAGGTCCAATAGATCATTTAGTTTCAATAGTTTATTTTGTTGTTTGATCAGAGTGCCGAGGGTTTCAATAGCCGCTGGACTGTCGTTGCTGTCGACACCGAACCCTTAATATTATCAACCGTTTTCAAATTGACTTTCCTATCCCCCCCCCCCCCCCCCCCACCAACGCCCCCGATTGCCGACAAAGACAGGAAATTTTCAACCAATTTCAAATTGACTTACAAATTGATTCCATTCACATATATGTTTAATTTATTATTTTATTTACTAAGTGGTCACCAGCAAGTTCAAAAATTTGAGTTGATGGACGCGTTGGTGTGAATTACTTATTGTTCCGACTTTCGATACGAAAGTAACGGAATATTTGTGCTCGGGGTGGTTTTTTTTTCTTCAGACGAATTTCGACTTTTTAACTAGCCATTTTTGACGGAATTTTTTTATCATTCGAAAGATAT